AAAGCAGTTGAAATAACAGCTAGATATGGATTAGAAAGTGGACGTCATTTAGGACCAGTTATGTCTATTAATAGAAGTCCTCCTAATCCAAAATTCTTTTTAACAGTTGGAGATTGGAGTGCTAAAATTTGGGTTGAAGATATTAAAACACCTATAATGAGAACAAAATATCATGGTAGTTATTTAACTGATGGTTGTTGGTCTCCTACTAGAAATGGTGTTTTCTTTTTAACTAGAAAAGATGGATGGATGGATGTTTGGGATTATTATTATAGATAAAATGAAATAGCTTTTAGTCATAAAGTTAGTGAAACAGCATTAACATGTATTAAAATTAATTCTAATGGTGGTGCACATCATAATGCTGGAAAATTAGTTGCTATAGGTGATTAAGATGGAACAGTTACATTATTAGAATTATGTGATTCATTATATTAATTGTAATTTAGAGAAAAAGATGTAATGAATGAAATGTTTGATAGAGAATCAAGAAAAGAAAAAAATCTTGAAGCTATTAAAAAATAATAAGATTTAATGAAGAAAGTTGTACCAAAAGACAATAAAGCTGCATAATAAAAATGGGAATAAAGAAAAGCTGAATTAATAACTGAAGCTGAATAATAATTTAGCTAAATTGTAAAAAAAGATGAAGAGGCTAAATTAAATGATTATTAAGAATTTAGTCCAAAAGCCTAAAAAAAGTAATTAACTAAATTTATATAATTTTAGAGAAGATAAAAAGTAACCATCTCCAAAAGAGGATGATAAATAATAATAATAAGGAAGTGGAGGATAATAACAAGATTAATAAGATTAAGGATAAGGAGATGGAAATAAAGATGGAGGATAATAAGATGGAGATGATGGATAATAATAAGGGGATGGTGGTTAATAAGAAGGTGATGATGGTTAATAATAAGGGGATGATGATTAATAATAATAAGGGGATGATGATTAATAATAAGGAGATAATGGAGATGGATAATAAGATGGTGAATAAGAATGATTAAGTATTATTATTATAAATTATAAATTATTATTATTATTATTATTATTTATCCAAATACATATACAAATAGTCATGCTTTTCATATGTTCAAAAGATTCTCATCTATTTACATTCTTGGCTTTAAATATTCTATAAATCCTTCTAAGAGATTCATCTAATGTTGATTCTTTATTTTTTAATCTACTAATACAACTCCAGCTTGTTTAAGTTCTTTGAATACTTCCAATAATTCATCCTTTTTATATGTATAAAGTAATTAAAATAGTTTTTGTGAATTCTCTGCAGCAAGTAAACCCAAATTCTTATAAATCCAATCTAAAATGAATTCATCTTATTGTTTTGATCTCAATTGAACTGCTAATGCTGTAAAAACACGTTCAGATAACATTGTATCTGGATGTCTCATATATAAATATAATGCTTCAGGTATTCGTTTCATTTTTATTAAACAAAAGGCTTCCATCCAAATCCTATTTTATATTTAATTCTATTTATACCAATTGCTTTCTTATGCCTTTTAACGTAATTCTTCTAATAATTTAAATTGTCCTTCAAATTGTTTCTCTACTTTTAACATTACTTTGTGTAAAAATTCATTCTTTACTAATTCAGCTGGTAAGTCTTTTTAAACTCTCCCTCTTAATATCCAAGTTATGTCAAACATAGTACTTTGTTAAAATCTTAGTACATCCATATAATTTATAAGGTTAATCGTAATATGATTCACATTAAAATAAAATGGACAAATACCAAAAACATTTGTTGAAAATGCACATGAATAATACATATATTCTTCTATTTATTTTCCATTATTTAACTTACTATAATACATTTGTTCTGCCATTTTTACCATTACATAAATTTTAGATAAAATTCTTAGATGATATTCTGTTTATTCGATATCTAATAATATTAATAATTATTTTTACCCAATATTTCTGGCAAATAACCATTCATTAATTCATTAGATAATTCAATGTTTATATCTTTTCCTTCATTTAAAAATTACTTGAAATTTTCTTGTATTCTCTCTGAAAAAACTTACAGAAATACTTCTAAAGTCTTTATGTAATCTATCTCAAATAACTTTTGTATATTATCCAAATCAAATATATATTCTAATAAATCTTTAAACATTGCTTTGAACTGTCTATCAGTAAAAAATGATTCTGGATTCTATTGATTTTGACCAGTAAAACAAAATGATAAAAAACTTATTTAATTAATTCAAATACCTGAAAAGACATCCTTTACATTAATCCAAACTCAAAGTAGTAATATTTCTATTCTCCTCTTCAGTTAAACCATTCTTACTTGATAAAATACTAACAAGTGTTAAGATTCTTAAATAAGGTGTCAGAAAGTCATTAATTTATGAACAAATATGCATCATCGGTTCTATTAAATCCTTCTCTAAACAAAAATCTATTAATCCTTTTGGATCATATTTCTATATGTTTTATATTGACATTATTAATTTAGTACAAGTTTCCTTATCTTCCATTTCAATAAACATCTTTAAAACTTTTAATTAATGCTAATATGGAATGTTAACTTAATGTTATTACAATAATTCTCTTAAATAATCATAAAACACATTTCTATAACCACATCCTACCATTAGATCCTCTATTGATTCAAATAAATATTCTTCATTTTGAGTTTTTATTAAGAAATACATTATAGTTAAAACTGATTTACTGTTTTTTAATTATTTATTTGGTAATTATGATAGCATATATTGTAATCCTAATTTACAGCATGTTTCTTTTATACAGAAATGTCTTTAAACATCATTTTCAGGTATATTGCATAATAAAGTCAAATAACCTCTATGGATGTCTACTGCAGTTTAAAAACATTTTTCCCATTCATTATTATCACTTTACTCAAATAATAATTCATCCCATTTCTTTAGACGAATAGATTATAATTCTGTTCCATTTAAAATATAACACTATTCATTTTTATAAATTATTTATACTAAATTTTATTAGAAATCTTACAATTTGGATGCAATTATTTATAATTCAAAATTATATCATTTGATATCTAATAACCATCATTAATTGAATCCATTACACTTTAATTAATAGTAACCTCCTACTTATTTTCTCTTACAAAAGTATAAAACTTAGGATTATATTGACCATTTTGCAATGTTTAGATATGCTTTTCTTAATTAAAATGCTTTTCAATTTAACTCAAAGTGAATGGAACACCAAATTCAAATTAAGAAGTTGTCATTAATTTTATAATTGTCTAATTTAATTTATTATTCTGAACTGAAAAAAACACAGAATTTGTTATAAAATTGCATACTATAGGGAATTCTTTTAATTAAGTTAAATCTACTGAATTATAAAAGTGACCTCCTTAAATTACTTAAATTTTGTAATCACTAGACATTACTTTAAAAGCATAATATTCCCTGTATCCCCAATTTATAATTAATAATACATATCTCTTATTTGTTTCCTTAAAACTTCCTAAACCCCAAGCACAAGAACATCTTGAATTATATTCATCATTTGCTAAAGGTTAATTAAAAACTATATTATAAATCTAAGCATCAGGTCTTTAAAAGTTTAATAATAATTAAATTTTTGATTGTTCTTCATTTAATTTGTTACCAAAAAATACTTTAACAACTTAAATTTTATTAACAAATCCTACAGCCATTAAATACTTAAATTATTTGATTAAATATTACAAATTGTGTGCTAAATACATATTCATTTGTTTCTTCTGTTTATTCTTATTTTGAATTAGTGCTACTTTAAAATAAAGATTTAAAGAAATTATTTTTCTTTTTTTTTGTTGGAGATTAATCTAATTGACTTCCAAATGAAGCTGTGCTTTCTCTGTCATCCATACATTATATAAATTCTTCATAACATGTATCCATTATTGATACATCTTAAATTATAGATAATTAAGGTATCACATAATCATTTTCAATCACTTTCTATAATACTAAATCTAAAAATTTACAGCATGTCTATTATGTTTGATCTTTTATTTTTCACAAGGTTCACCAAATTTATAAATTGGAATTGCTATTTTTTGTTCTAATGTAGTAATATTTACTTCTAAAGGAACCTTTAATAAATAATTGTTTTCCAAATGAACAATTATTTCATAATATTATTCCTTTCTTAATTAAAGTAAATGCTCTTAATTAATCGATAAAGGCACCATATAAGCATATTTTAGATGTTAGTATCTATGCTGCAAAACCTCTTTGAAGGACTTATTATTTATATTTTTATTAATTTTACTCTCAAACTAAAGATCACAAACTCATTATTTGAATATGTCACTAATAATAATTAGTTATCATTAGAAATTTATATCATTTTCACTTAACCTCTATAAATTTGAGTATCCTTTCCAAGTATTTTATATCCTTGTTTAAAATCATTATCCTAACTGTTTACTTAATAATTACTTATTAGAAAACATAAATGTATGAATATTCCATTCCAACAAACACTAAGTCATTATTCATCGTAATGTAAGTAGGTAATCCACATAATTCTTTTTTATAATCAAAAAACTCTTAAAAATTACTATGAACAGTATTCACAATGTAATCCTCTATATTCACATTTTTGTTTGGTTATATTTTTATTTTCTCTTTTTTCTATTTCTTTTAATCCGATGACATAATTTATTATTAATTATTCTAAAATGATTGTTAAAATATTTAATCTAAACAATAGTGTTATTTAACATTATTTATTTACTCAGCAAAGAAGCAAAAGAAGATAATTTTAGATTGATAATATTATTTGTAATTAGTATTGGTTTATTTTTAATAAGTTTTGGTAAAGAATTCTTTAAAGTCTTTAGAATAAGAATGATTATTACTATTAGAATACATAGAATGTTAACCAAATAATTTTAAATCAGATAATTTATTAATTCGATAATAAAAATTACCTATCATTTGATAAATTTAAAATTTTTATAATATAATATACCACGAAGATGATTTTCAATAATTGTTTTTATATTCCATCTTACTTAGTTTGTATGTGAAAATTTATTAATCTTATAATATTTAAATTAATATATGAATATATTTAAAGTATTCTGTGTGTGAGAAGGTTTTCAAGTGTCCTTTTTTACTTTATGATTAGTTTTTATATTGTCTTTGTCACCCAAATAATCATCCTTATTGTATCTTAACTTTTTATAATATCTATTCTTAATCATATTCATAGTTTTTCCTGGAAAATATTTTACTATTTTATTGAAATTAGGTCCAAGTTAAATAACCAATTCTAAAATTCTCTTATCTTCCAGATAGGAGAATCTATAGAAGATATGATTATAAATATGTGGATACCTCATATCATTGATCTTTCTTTTTTATGATAAGTTTTTATTGAAATCATTATAATCATGATTAGATTGACACTACATCATAGATTAGTATAAATGTTCTAAAGATTCTTCTTCTACATTCTATTACAGTTATCTAAAACTACATTCAAGATCATACTCATCTATTTCATCATTTAAAATATATTATTTGATATAGATTGCTTCATCCATTTATAATTTATATTTTATTATAAGATTTGTAATTTAAATTTTGCTTGTGTAAATACATCTAATTAAATCGTATCAAAAGAATAATTCGATTTCACTAGATTTGATTATTAAAATTAAATGATTTATAACTAATTCAAAGAGAAATTCATTAGAACCATATTTCAGATTTAAAATTTTAGGAACAATACATCATTATGCACATTTAGTTAAAAATTCCTATTCTTTATTTTTAATCTCTTCAAAACATCTCGATTCTAAATTAACTCTATTGTATCTATAAAAAGTATTCCTAAATCCAATAAGTGATCAGATTAGATTCATAAAACATAAGAGCGACGTGTATTTTATTTTTTCTTATATTTCTTTCCTGTAGCTTTTATAATGGATGTGTGTATGCTTTTATTATAACCAAGAGTTCATTTGTAGTAGCAATAACTCAACAAACTATATTGTTGAAAATTTTTTCTGTAAATTAATCTTAATCCATTTCATTAAATAACATTAGATTGGTTCCAACCATTTTATCATAAAGTATTGAAAATGACTTAAAATTGATTCCATAAATTTTAATCAAGTGTTATTGACATTGATGAAATCATTTAATTATTAGAGTTCAATATAAGAATATAATTTAAATATAGAAATAATTAAGTTTTAATTTTAGTAATGTTCTTTTGTCTGTCATAACAAACTTTTATTATTCTTTACCATTCCCAATATTCAAAAACAAAATTTTATCTATTAATTTTAGCTAATCATTCGTTCTTTAAAAAAAAAAAATATATATATATTATATATATTAAATGTTGAGAGTACTCAATAAAAATAAAAAAATTAAGTGAATTAACAAGGAAATAATAATTTTAAGAAAATAATTAGAAACCTCAAAAATTTTGAGTCGCTAAAACGGCTTTAAATAATATAAATTATTTGAATTAGTTTTATAATATAGTTGTTAAGTTAAAATAATATAGCTTAAAATTAATAACAAAAGAAAACGGATAATATATATAAGTTCATTTCTTATTATTTGTTTAAGGTTTGAATGGTAAGCTACTGAAAATTTAATTTTCTTTAACTTTTTTCTTTTTTTCAATTCTTTTGTGTTCACTATGCAATCTATCAAAAGGAGATTAATCAATTTAAAATTGTGATACATATTTGGAGTTATCTGAATTAGCATTTTTAATAATTTTATCAGATTATTTAGAAATAGAAAATTGATTAAGATTTTATTCTTTAATTCCTGAAGCAGATTTAATAGCTGATGATTTATTATAAAGTCTTTCAAATACCTTAATTTTTTATTCTGAACCTTATTAATGAGAAGCATATTGATTAATGTTAGGAGTAAATGTACATTCATCTAATTAAGCTTAACTTTCATTTTATTATAATTAGACAAGTTGTTATTGTTAATCAAAGAAATGATTATAGAGTCTATCTTCAACTGGAATTGATAAATATTCTTATTATTCAATAGGCTAACTTATCAATTAAGGTTTGAATGGATAAATTTTTTCCTGACTAATTGGTTTTTATTATCTTTATGACAATGCATTTTAGTATAATCTAGAGAATGGATCACCTTCTGAAGTCTTAGAAATACTCTGATTAACTTATGGTCTGAAAGTACATTATTTTAATTCACTTTTAGTTTTTATTTCCATACTAATTTGATGTTTCATTCTTTAATCATATCCAAATTTTGATAATCTTTCATAAACAGGTGCAGTTGTATCTAATTGCTGACTCTTTTTTGATATTTATGGTTAAAATGTACATTCTTTTAATTGATCTTCAATAACTTTTTATGATTATACTATTTTCTTTTCTTCTTTATTTATATATTAATCATAAAGATAAACTGTAGATTAATTATTAGTGCTTTATAAAGATTTAGAATCTTAAGGAGTGGATTGACTATGTTTACTTCTAGTAGTTAATTACTTTGAATTGTTATGATAAGGAATAGGTTTTGAGATGTTTTATTTCATTAACCATATTTATGAGATTCTATTTGATAAATCAATCAATGATTGTTTATTTAATGTAACCAAATGCATAAATAGTATTTAACCTAAGTCATCAAAAGTTGATTCAAAAATTTAATCTTTCTCCAATATTCCTATGATTCTACAATATTCTATAAATTCGTTAACAAATTAAACCATTATTAATAATTATGTTTTTAAGAATTACAGCAACATTATTTAGACAACCTTTACTCAAGAATTCTATATAGAGATCTTTCATGTAATCTCCAATGTTATCAATACTTACCAATCATAAATTATTGATACAAAATCTTTCCTATTTACAAAGTTAATTTCACCAGATGGAAGAAAGTAATGATGAATTAGAATTATTGTATATGAAATTCAATTTATAAAAGATAGAAGGAAGCTCCAGTAAGCAGAATGCAGTGAGACGACTCCTAAATATCAATTAATACAGTGATATTATTTACAATACCAAAAATCAATATTATATTATTATTTTGATTCTTTCTATATGTGGATACTACTTAATTGTTGATTTTTATATTATTTCATAATTTTTATTCAATCTTATTGTTCTAAAATAGATTTAAATTATAATTTTCTGAATTTGATTCACTATTATCATTAACTGATTAATTTTTTATTAAATCACTAAAATATAATGCATCGACCAAAACCTCACATTAGAGTCCAATTAGAAAAAGATATTCTTGATGGATTCAGCCGATTATAATAAGTTTAACCTTTCATTCATATCAATCCAACAATTGATAAAATTCCTAATTTGAAAAAAATAAGAATCTTAGAAGATAGATATACATAAATAGAAAAAGATAATAGATTATTATTAGAGAAAATTACAAATATTATGAAGAGTGAAACTAGTCGAGTTGGAAAACCAAAACGTGTTTCTAGTTTTGAATTTAGAAAGAAAAGTGAATAACAATAAATTAGAAAAGAAAATGAATTGCTATTATCCAAAATTAGTCATAAAAAATCATCATATTCTAAAAATCATTTTGATAAAGAATGGAATAAAACTAAACAATATTTTATGAATCTTGGAGGATTGCGTAGTTTAAGTTAAAAATAAAAACAATTTAATTATTCATTTTTGTATTGATTTTTTTACATTTCATACTTCTATTATTATTATAAAAAACAAAAATAACAAATTATAATAAAGTCTAAATCATACTTATAAATTACTTAATTCATCATTAAAAGTATTTGCTTTTAAGTCCATCAAAACCTAATTCTCCCACTGTTGATAATTCTTTTTAAATAATTCTAAATTTTCTAAATTATACTCTTCTCTTCTTTAAAATATCTTTTGTCATATTCTATAATTCTAATCTTTCAGTATTGCAATAATTGATTACACCGTTAATATCCTTTGGTTTTTATAATTCCTCATCCAATTTCAACTAATATTTCTTAAACATAGAAAATTGAGGTTTCTTACCAATAAAATGATAATTTTAATTTTAAGGTTAACTCATCTCAAAGTTAAGAGGAGATTAACTTTTAGTTCTTTTCAATTATTTCTAACATTTTTTTTTAATCAAAATAGAATCAGGAGATAAGTTTACACTTTTTAATCCTAAACGGGCCATTTATTAATTTACCTTACTTTATATTCTCTCAACTCTTTCACTTAATTACTATTTAATATCTTCTTTATTTTCATTTTCGATATTTTAAATAGATTGAGATCTTGTTTATGATTTTTTTGGAGTAACAGGTTAAGAATGAATTTACTTAAGATGATTAAATTTCATTCTACTTACCTCTTACTCTACAAATTTATAACCCATTGTTTCCAATAACTATAAATGTTACTTTGCTTAAAAAAATTAAGACTTTTTCTTTTCAAGTTATGCCACAGGAGTATCACAATGAATTTTTTCAAAAAGTTCTTTTTCTTTCTATTATAAATGTGTTTAGATTTAAGTAATTATTTTATTCAAAATTTCTTTTTTATTTGGGGTCTTTGATTATTCTCTCGAAGTATTATTAATAATACCTTATCAAACTTTATCTTTCCATTGCTACTTTAGTTAACTTATCTTCAAATCTACAAATTTTTCTATCATATTCATCTATCACTGTTGATGGTATTTTATATGATATCTTCTTATACTTATTCTTTTTAGCATAATAAATTGCCAAATATTCATCATTATATACACCAGGCTTTATTTATGATATGAATAGTACAAATAGAAACTCAATTTTTTATGCTAATTTTTTTTTATTTTCTTTTTCTTCTTTTTACATATTTTAATTAATGAAAGAAATGTCTCTCACATTTAAAATAATCCTTCTAGGAGATTCAAATGTTGGAAAAACTAGCATATTAAAAAGATATTCAGAAAATACATTTTCAGAATAATAAACATCAACAATTGGTTTAGCTTTATATAAGAAGGTTGTTGAAAGAAAAAAATATTAAAATAACGCTTGAGACTTGGGATATTATCGAAATGCTTAAGCAGTCTTAATATGTTTTGATTTATCAAAAAGAGATACTTATGAAGGAGCTAAAAAATGGTTAGAAGAAATAGATAAATATTTGAATTCTGATTGTGTTAAATTTTTAGTTGGAAATAAATAAGATTAGGGTGAATTTGATGTTGATTAAACATTTTTAGAGAAAAATCAAATGAAATATATTTAAGCATCNTAAGAGGAGATTAACTTTTAGTTCTTTTCAATTATTTCTAACATTTTTTTTTAATCAAAATAGAATCAGGAGATAAGTTTACACTTTTTAATCCTAAACGGGCCATTTATTAATTTACCTTACTTTATATTCTCTCAACTCTTTCACTTAATTACTATTTAATATCTTCTTTATTTTCATTTTCGATATTTTAAATAGATTGAGATCTTGTTTATGATTTTTTTGGAGTAACAGGTTAAGAATGAATTTACTTAAGATGATTAAATTTCATTCTACTTACCTCTTACTCTACAAATTTATAACCCATTGTTTCCAATAACTATAAATGTTACTTTGCTTAAAAAAATTAAGACTTTTTCTTTTCAAGTTATGCCACAGGAGTATCACAATGAATTTTTTCAAAAAGTTCTTTTTCTTTCTATTATAAATGTGTTTAGATTTAAGTAATTATTTTATTCAAAATTTCTTTTTTATTTGGGGTCTTTGATTATTCTCTCGAAGTATTATTAATAATACCTTATCAAACTTTATCTTTCCATTGCTACTTTAGTTAACTTATCTTCAAATCTACAAATTTTTCTATCATATTCATCTATCACTGTTGATGGTATTTTATATGATATCTTCTTATACTTATTCTTTTTAGCATAATAAATTGCCAAATATTCATCATTATATACACCAGGCTTTATTTATGATATGAATAGTACAAATAGAAACTCAATTTTTTATGCTAATTTTTTTTTATTTTCTTTTTCTTCTTTTTACATATTTTAATTAATGAAAGAAATGTCTCTCACATTTAAAATAATCCTTCTAGGAGATTCAAATGTTGGAAAAACTAGCATATTAAAAAGATATTCAGAAAATACATTTTCAGAATAATAAACATCAACAATTGGTTTAGCTTTATATAAGAAGGTTGTTGAAAGAAAAAAATATTAAAATAACGCTTGAGACTTGGGATATTATCGAAATGCTTAAGCAGTCTTAATATGTTTTGATTTATCAAAAAGAGATACTTATGAAGGAGCTAAAAAATGGTTAGAAGAAATAGATAAATATTTGAATTCTGATTGTGTTAAATTTTTAGTTGGAAATAAATAAGATTAGGGTGAATTTGATGTTGATTAAACATTTTTAGAGAAAAATCAAATGAAATATATTTAAGCATCAGCAAAAACAGGATATAATGTATATAAATTATTTAGAAGAGTTGCTAGAACTTTGGCAAAAACTAAAATAAAAAAAATGGAAAGTCTAAATTAAAAGACTATAATAACTCTTTAAGTATAAGGGCCAGAAGAAAAATAAAAAAATCTCTATGTTGTTGATTTATTTTGATAAAATTAAACTTCAAAATAAATTCTAAGTAAAGTATGCTTAAAAATTTATTTTTATACCTAAAATATTTTGTTTTATTGATTTATTATTAATTTCAACATAATAACTATCAAAATATAAAAGAGAGATAATAAAGATGAGTATTTTATGAATAATTTATTTTATAGAATATAAATAAAATTAATATGCTAATAAATTCCAGTTTATTGAATAGATATTTATGAATATTTTATTTATTTATATTTGATGTATTATTGTCAAAATATTCATCTAGCTGTGTTTGCAGCAGCTATAATATCTGCAAATCCTGGTTTTAAAGCGGCACCTCCAACTAAAAATCCATCAAGATCTTATTATTTAATAAGATCAGCAGCATTCTTTTCAGTGACTGATCCACCATAGATAATTCTAGTAGCTTATTCAACCTAAAATGAATTATAATTTCATATACTTATGTTCCAAGTTATGCTCTAAGCCATCCTCTAATAAAAGCATGAACATCTTAAGCTTAATCTGGTGATGCTGTTCTTCCTGTTCCAATAGCCCAAACTGGTTCATAAGCAATTACAACTTTGCTCCATTATTCTGTTGTCAATTCCTCTATAAAAATATTATTATTAAATTACTTTTAATTGCCTCTAATTATGCTTAGATCACTTATGTTGTATTACCAGATTCTCTTTCAGCTAATTTTTCACCAACACATGCCATAACACTAAGTTGATGATCTAAAGCTAATCTAGTTTTCTTTCCAACTATTTCATTGCTTTCACCATAATATTATCTTCTTTCAGAATGTCCCAAAATAACCCAAGGAATTCCAAGATCTTTTACATGTTCAACACTGATTTCACCAGTATATGCTCCCATCTTAGTCAAAGATGAGTTTTAAACAGCCACTTAAACATTCTTTTGAATATTGGCTTAAACCCATGGAACATGTAAGAAAATTGGAGCAACAGCAACCTCTAAATAATATTAATTATTAATTACCAACTTTATTTGCATCGAATACAAGTTTGTTAATGACTGTGTTAATCAAACTTTATGTTTATGCTATAGTGTTATTGCATTTCCAATTACCACCTACAAAATATCTTCTCATAATTTAATTATTTAATTACAATTTATTAACTTATTAGATTTAAAAATTAAATAAAATGTGATAATATTCAATCAATTAAGAAATTTAATGAAATATTATAATCAACAACACATTTGATTTATTTTTTATTATTTATTCATATTATGAATTGAAAAAACATTAAATTGTTTGATAATTAAATAATTAATAATTGCTGCATTTTAAAAAATATATAATATTAAATAAACAAAATTCGTATAATAATTATAATTAAATAAAATGCCTAAAATAATAAGAAAAACATACTAAAATGATGTTTACACATTTCAATCAGATTATATTTATTAAATCTGAATAAACATTCTTTTTGAATATTTAATAATTATTATTAAATGCTGAGTACATCATAAACTAGAAGTACCACTGAAACAATTAGTAGAGTTGTTGTTGATTAAAAATATGTGATAGTGAAGAATATTTATAAAGGATAACAGTATAACCTTTTTTTAGGTAATAAATGATAAAGTTAAAAGATAGTTAGCGATTAAACAAGAATAGTCTAATGATATCAATTAATTTAACCACTAGGAGAAATATTATCTGATTAAAATGAAGAAGTATATTTTACTGTAATACTCTAGATAAACTTAATAAAATGAGGCTATTCCAGAACTTTAGTTTCTAATTAGATTAAAAGACTGTAACGAAATCATTTCCTAATATAGTCAATTGTGTTCCCTTTCTTATCAAATATGGAGAGTAAGTGATTAAAGGATCGAAATATCATTACTAAATTATGGAAAGACATGGTCCTTCTATTAAACTTATATACAATTATTTATCTAGAAATATACCATTATCAATTTTATGTTTGATTGCTATTTAAGCAGTATCATAACAATATTTTATTCTTAGCTTACTTGTTTAGAAGTTATTCATAAATATCAAATTGTTCATCGTAATATAAGACCAAAAAAATTATTACTTTCAACAACTGGCAATGAAATTTTATTAAGTGATTTTAAATATGCTTGTAAATTTAAAAAATAACATGGATCATTAATGGTTAATGAAAATTACAAATTAAATTCAAACAAATATTTTCTCAATAAATACTCAAGTGTAAATCAACATCTTAATTAAAGTAACTCATAATTCATTATTTAGTTCCTACACCAAAAGATGATCTAGAATCTTTAGCATACATTTTACTTATTTATGCTTCTAACTCTAACGTTTTTTAAATTGAAGCTGAAAATAAAGGACTTAAACTTAAAAAGTTAGAGAGTGTTAAAATATCAATTATTCCTGAAATTGCTTTTAAATTTGCTCCATTTGAATTTATTCATTTTTTACATCTTGTAAAGACTAGTAATGCTAACGATTATCCATAAGATTATGAAAAATTTAAGCAATTATTTAGAAAAATTATTCAGACTAATGGATATACAGAAAAAGAACTTTCATATCCTTTGTTCCATATGAATTTACAAGAAAAAACTTAATAATCACTCTTTCAGAGTTAGACAAGCAAATTTAAAAAAATGTAACATCAAAAAATGAGTTCAGAATCAATCAAAGAAGAAGACCAAGATGATGAAATATCACTCTATTAAACAGAGAAAGTTGGTGAAGATAGAACTATTGAACCATTAATTAAAGGATTAGCAAAAAAGTCATTTAAACATATTTCTTTTTTAAATTAACATTAAGTTGAATAATAAATTGTAAAACTCAAATTTACTAAAAAATGATTCTTGATTTAATTATGTGAATTCTCAATTTTCCTTATTATAATATTATGTAAATATTATATATTTTTAAAATATATTAATATAAGAATGTTTCTAGAATTAATTGATTATTTAAAAAAGATACTCAAAAATCAAAAATTCTAATACAAAATTTATTATGAGATTAGGTTATTATATATGTATATTAATTACAAAATAGAAAATGTGTATTATTCAAAAGTTTCTTCTGTAAAACTCATAAGCTTGTTCTGTCATTAATTGATTATGTGGTTGTAACTTTTAGAGTAGATTTTTGAGTGAAATTTCGCAACATCCAGCATTCACAGAAATTATATTCAAATTAATGCCTCCCTTTTCTCGAAATAGAAAATCTCCAGTTAATTTAACCAATGAAGAAGCAATGACATGTTCATGCTCCCCTTATACTAAATTTTGATTCTTTAAATATGTATAGAAGAATCTACATAGTGTTTAAAATCTCTGATTAAATCCTAAAGCAACACAAATTCTGGTCATGTACTGTAAAGTAAAGGCATCCTGATCGAAAGGTTTTACTTAATTAAGTGTTATCAATATCTTGCGCACTTGTTTTTCATCACAACCTAATGCTTAAACGATTTCTTTAATTCTCAAAGGGATTAGAAGAATTCTTAAAGATTAAATAATCAATGCGCAAGCTATTGATTAATATTTTTTTGATTTTACTTTCTCAATCATCTAATTATCTAGTAGTTCAATTGATTTATGTTTGATATTCTCAATATTTATTCCTTTTAAAATATTGTTATGAGTTAAGTGAGCAAGCATTTCATCAACTTATAGATTTACTTATTTTTATCGTCTTATGTCTGATTTTTATAATGAAATTTAGGTTTTTGTATCTTCTGATGATGAATGATCATTTATATTCCAATTAAATTTTGGTGCTGGTGGTCTTTAATTTATATTAGTATTCATTTTAATTATTAATTAATTTCATAAAAATTTTTAACGTAAAATGAAATTTGACGAAATAATTCAAATAATACTTATCAGAATGTACCAGTTGTATTTCAATGAGAGAATTATGGAATTATTTTATAAATTTTTAATTATATTATAGACTAAATAGAGTAAAGATAGTATTTTTAAAGAGTTAAGTTTACTAACTGTTAGTCATTAAAAATAATTATTTAATGGAAAATCAACGGATAACTAAATATGTGAAATCTACCTCTTCTTTGAATTCTAAATAATCTCCTAAATACATCTAATGTAAAATAGAATAACATATCAAATAGAATCAAATTTGCTCACTTAGCAACATCCAACTTAAATATTAAAGAAATCTGTATAATAAAATATTCCATTGATACCACTTAAATAAGTAAACAACATACTTCCAACAAGAGAAACTCCTATTTTCAAACAAAATTAAGATGAAATATACTCTTACTCTAAGTAAAAAATCATAAAAATACCAAATTAGAGATGCCAGTTGTTTAATGGCAAAATTAGATTCCCTTATAGAAATTAAATCATCAGATAGTCCTATAAAAAGTCAAGTCTCTCCTATACCTTCTATATTATAGAGTTTAGTAGTTCATAATTAAACTAATGCTCCAAAAACTTAACTTTTATAACAAGTTGCTTGTTCTAGTTGTGTGGAACCATTTAAAATTTATAATAATAACAAAAATGTTGCACAAAGTTAATAAATAATTTAAACACATTCTTCAAAAAGGAATTATGAAACTATGATTGAAACCTTAATGAAAGAATAAGAACTTTTAGTTAGATAATATACTGATAAAATTACAATTTTATAAAAGAAAACCTAAGAACTTTAAAATGAAAACAACAACTTAATTTAATAAAATTAGTTATTTTCGGAATAAAATTTATAGTTAAATGAAGAAATAACTCACCTAAAATCAAAATAATTTTCAATCAATAAAACTTAATAAAGTTTAGATAAAGAGAAGACTGTAGAATATTTTGAGAATCAATTAGAATAGAAAAAAAAAGAACTTAATTAATTGATGTAGAAAATGAATGAAATTCTTTCAATTAGTTAGAAAACTGAAGAAAAAAATAATGATTTATCATAACAAATTAATACTATTTTAGAATAGAAGGAAAAAGAAATTAATGCATATTTTACATAGATAACTATTTACAAATAAACAATCTAAGATCTTGAGTTTAAAATTACATAATTTATTTAGAATGATTAAACATAATAGAAAATCTTGAAGGAAGCATAAAATAAAATTGTATAGATAGAACAATAAGAGAAAATAAAATAAAATTCATTGCATTTATAATAGTAGATAAAAGTAAAATATTATTTTAAATTAAATTAGATAAATGTAAAAGAAACATTTGAATATAAACAATTAGTCTTGGAGTTAGATAGCAAAAATGTTACAATATAAGAAAAAGAAAACTAAATTGAAACTTTAAAGATTAAAAACTAGATGATTTAATAATAATTAATACAAACATAAATAAGTTAGACATCTTTAAAAGAACATTAAGAGATAATGATATAAAGAGAAATAGAAAATGATAATTTAAAATCAAATTTGATTAACAAAGATGAAGAAATTTAGAAATTAAATTAATAATTAAAAATGGTTAGAAAAGAGAAGGCTAAATTATCAATAAGTTTAATGAATGCAGGAATGGCTAATCTTATGATGGTATCTTAGAGTTAAGTTTAATAAGAAGAGATTACAGTTTGAATTGATTAAAAATTTATTTAAAAATAAAAACTATCAAATACCAGTTAATATATCATTTTCGAATTCACAATCAATTTAATCTAGATTACTGTTTGCTATATAGCCAACACCATGTTTTTTACCATTTTAAAAGGTTCCTTTATAATGAATTCCTTCTAAATTATAAAATAAGGTTCCTTATCCTTCTGGTTTTCCATCTACAATTTAGCCTGTATAATATAATTTGCTATCTTATTATATTTCGTTTGCATTAACATTTATAGTTTCTCCTTCATATTTTTTTAAGAAATTCAAAATTTCTTCAATAAATGCATTTTTTTTTTCAATTTCTGAATTTAATAGTAACTATTAAACAGGTCTTTATTTTTATGATCCTTATTTGATTACATCTTATAATATATCAATGTCATCTTCAATAGTTGAATATACTTGAAGGACTTTGATAACATTTTTTTAAGAAATCTAAAGTTCAAAATGCTGACGATGATAAAATGGTACATTATCATATGCTTATAATGTTTTGATTCCAGAGATTCTACAATTTTATATAGACATTTTAGATATAGCATTAGAACTTTCTAATTTAGAGATTATCTAAATAATTTCTTTTAATACATCTAATTCACTATTACTATTTTTAATATAATAGTTTAATTGCGCGAGATTTGAAAGGTAATACATTGTGCCATAAGAGTCAACAAAGAAATAAGAAATTTTAAAAGTCTTATTTTTTTTTCTTTGTTTTGTAAAAAACCCTGTCATTTATGTTAAACTTGCCATTTAATTTACAAATTATAATATAAATATAACTATATACTCACTTTTATCATTATTAGATTGTTTACTATTATAAATTGTTTTATTCTATTCTTTTTTAAGTCCAATCATATTAATAATCTAAAACAAATCGTTATTTTTAGAATAAATCTCGAAAGAGTGATCTACAATAGTCATAATCTGGTTTTTCATTAAATTACAAGTTCCTACAATATTTAAGATATTATTAAAATTCTATAGGTGTTCCTGAACATAATAATTCAATACTAGTAGCAATTTTGGATTCCATAATTCTTTCATATTTATCTTTTTTGTTATTGTTTTTTAAATTTTACCAAGGAAGTGTTCCTTTTAAAAAATATATTAAAACATATCCAATACTTTCTAAATCATCTCTTCTACTTTATTCTAATCCAAGATGAGTATTAATTGATGCATACCTTGCAGTTCCTGTTAAATTCTTTTTCTCTCTATAAGGGATATGAGATCCATCTCTTGTAATAAATCTTTTAGCTAATCCAAAATCAATCATAAATAATGTTTATGCTCTTTTACCTAAGCCCATTAAAAAATTATCAGGTTTTATATCTCTATGAAGAAAATCTTTAGAATGAATGAATTCTACTCTAGTAATCATTTAGTCTACTAGCATAAGAACAGTTTTTAATGAAAATTTTCGTTGACATTGAGTAAGCAATTCTTCAAGAGAAGGTCCCAATAAATCCATTACCATAATATTATAATCTCCTTCTGTTGAACAATAATAGACTTAGGGAATTCCTTTTTCTACAGAAGCATTATCTTAACTAAGATGTTAATATAGTTTAGCTTCATAGTAAAGTTATGGATGTTTGGCGCTAATTGGTTCTAATTTTATAGCTACTTCTATATTATTTTTAAGCTAATATAGACTTTAAATTGCATTCATTTACATTTATTCCATGAAATATTTCTCCAAATGCTCCACTTCCTAATTTCTTGGTTAATTTAAATGTTTTCCCTATTTTAGAATCCATTATATTTGAAATAAATAAAAAGGTAAAAATATTTATAAATTACAAGTTAAAGATATTCTTAATATTTTGAGAATTCACTATTATAATAGATAAAAATGTATTTAATATCTAATAGTAGAATATAATAATAATATATATAATAATATTTGTGAATAATAAATAGATTAATAAAAACAATTATGATTTAAAACAAAACTGATATAATGTAATTGACAGAATAGATTTAGAAATACATATATATATAATGAATTGAATATTATATATGATTTTGATATAAAAATATATAATAAATATAAAAAATGGATTATGATATTGATTATTATCCATCTTAAATAGTAGAGACAATAGGAGATGTAACGTTTAGTAGTTAATTTGATTCTGGAAATTTGAAATCTGTGAGAAAGGAATCATATAATAAAGTAAATGTGTAAGATTTAGTATTTTAGTATATATTAACGATTTGTAACGATACAGGAATAAATGGGAAGATTGCAACATATAGAACTTGGTTTTATTTTTCAGTAGAAGGAATGGATAACGCAAGTTTGGTTACATTTGTGATATCGAATATGCAAAATTAAGTAGTAATGAAAAACAATTTGAGATTGGACTGTTTAAAGATGGAATGCAACCTGTATTTAAGACAAGCAATGAGTGGCAAAGAGTAAGATATCCTTGTTAATACCGATTGTTACCAGATGGGTTATTTGAAGTTACATTCCAGCATTTATTTTAAAGTAATTAGAAAGTTTATTTTGCATTTACTTATCCTTGGTCAAATAAGGATAATGAAGTAAATATTATAAATACATAGTAATTCATATAATAAATGATATAATAAGGAAGATAGTAAATAAAAGATGTGTATATAAAATAGAATGTTTTGGGATATTCTAAAGAGCGAAGACCAATCCATTTGTTAACAATAACAAGCAATAATAATTCAACAAATAGAGTAGAAGATGTTATAAATAATGTATTTCCAGAGACATCAGAAAGTAGACCTTTAGTGTAAATAAGATCAATATATTAAAATTAGATTTAAAAAGAAATACATATTTATATCAGCAAGAGTACATCCAGGAGAATTACCAGGATCTCATGTATTAAATGGAATAATTAAATTCTTATTGAATCCTAATGATAAGGCAGCAGAAGTAGCAAGAAATGAATTTGTTTGGGTTATTGTTCCTATAATAAATCCAGATGGAGTTTATAGAGGTCATTATAGAACTGATTCATTATGTTAGAATTTGAATCGTTATTATTTGAACCCAAGTTTAAATGATCATCCTACTATTTATGCAATTAAAGAATATATATTAAGATTACATAATACTGATAGATTTTATGCTTATGTTGATCTTCATGCTCATGCAGGTCATAAAGGAATCTTTGTATTTGGAAATCAATTACCAAATTTATATATGCATACATAGAATTGTCTAATACCAAAGTTATTGACACTCTATTCTGAAATATTTGATTATGATGGATGCAATTTTACTGAAAAAAATATGTATTCTGCTGATAAAGGAGATGGATTAAGTAAAGAAGGAAGTGGAAGAGTAGCATTATATAAAGAAACTAATATCATTCATTCTTATACTGTTGAATGCAATTATAATTCAGGCAAAATTACTAATATCTTACCTAAATCTACTTATCTATCTGATTCAGAAGGTTTTAACATTCATTTCTAATTTAGATATTTAATATACCTATGGAAATGAAATAATTGATGAATAAATTGTTTTAGGAATATCTCAATAAGGTACAACCAATAAGACATATTTCTATACAATTAATGATTATGAATAAGTTGGACAAGCCATTATCTTAGCATTTCTTGATGTTAATTTAATTAATCCTTGTAGCAGAATACCTGATTCTTAATTTAAGACTCTACCAAATCTTAAAATGTTTCTTGCTTATAATATTATGAAAGTCATGCATTTTAGATTTGATACTTTCTTAAGAAAAGTACTTAAGTATATTCATTTCTATTTTACTATAGGAATATTAATAATAAAGAAAATATATAAAGAACTTTGAAATCTTTTTATGATTATATTAAAACTAATCATGTTAGAGATAATTTAGAATAAAATGAACAGTAATAAACCAAATAACAATTTCCTAGAAAACCTATTTAATAAGAACTCAAATTATAAAAACAAACACTTTAATTCTAATCTTAAAAATTAGATAAATTACCTGAAATATAAAAGAATTCTAATTAAAGATAGGTATCTCAAGAAAATAATAAGCATAGAAATACTTCTGAAGGAAAATAATAATTATAATAATAATAATAATTTTAGAAATAATATAGATCTTTTAGAATAACCAAGAATTGTGCTAAGGCTACATAATAATAATAATAATGATCAATTTTATATATCTATAAATTTCATTTTGAATTTATTTATTTAAAAATCAATATGAATTCTTAAGTAAAAATAGAAATCACAATATGATAGATAATATAAAGTATGATTCACTTAGATGAGGTGGTTCTTCTTTATAAAATTGTATTTTATGACATTCTTAATTGATTGCTTAGCTTTCTTTAATCATCAAAGACGTTGACCTAAGATTACTCATCTCCTTAAGTTAACAATATAAGGGATTTAGTGGGTTCATTTAATTGAAGGCTAGAAAATATTTATGTCTATTTTGATTCTTTACAACCCATTTATATAGATTAAGCAATTAAGTTAAATATATTAAAAATATTATAAATAATGAATTCATTTTTTCCAGATGGAATATATGCATAAATAATCAAGGAGTAATGTAGGATAATAAGATTTAAGAGTATCAAAATCAAAATAGCAAACTTATTCATCATTATCTTTACATTTAAATACAAGATGCTTATTTTACATAAGATGATGAGAATTTATGCATTCTAATGGTATTTTACCATCACTTACCTAACATTTAGAATTCTTATCATAATATTTCTGATTAAGTAAATTAAACTTTGGTAAATCTGTATATTGACTTTTATATCCAGGAGGTAAAGATGCTTATGGTTTATATATGATAACTTCTTCATCTCTTTTTTTCTTCTATTCTTTTTTTTTAATCATCATAAGCATTTCTTAAATAAATTCTTTTTCTGTTTTATATTAACCATATTTAAAAGAACATTATTCTGCAATTGGTAAAGGATATTACTTCTATTAATATTTTTAAGCTTCTATTTTATAATCATTTTTATAAGATAAGAACTCTCTATCAGTTTCACTCTTTCTTGGTCTACCTCTACCTCTTCTGATATAGAAATCATAATCTTCTTTTTCATCATTTCTATCTATAAAATGTGAAGGTATTAAAGTACTTTCATAATTTCTTGAATGATTAGTTTCTTATTAATGTTTGTAATTCTAACCATTACTTTCTGTTTTATTGCTTTAAGCTAAAAGAGCATATTTATTTTCAGATGTGAATTTCTTATATACTTAACATCCTTTATTCATGATATGAACTCTAATTTTAATGTGACTATTAGCTTTATAAATTTTGGTATGATAATTTTTATAATTTTGGCATCTTTCAAATCTGGTGATCAATTAATTGGAAATACCATCAAAAGCAATTTCTGGTTCCCAAGTTGATTCTGATTTAGAATACCCAACCCATTTTATATAGTATTCAATGTTATTTAAACACCTTTTCCCATGAACAAATTCAACATCGAATTGTTATTATTGAAATTCCATATTGTAGTTGGTTANACATAATAATAATAATAATGATCAATTTTATATATCTATAAATTTCATTTTGAATTTATTTATTTAAAAATCAATATGAATTCTTAAGTAAAAATAGAAATCACAATATGATAGATAATATAAAGTATGATTCACTTAGATGAGGTGGTTCTTCTTTATAAAATTGTATTTTATGACATTCTTAATTGATTGCTTAGCTTTCTTTAATCATCAAAGACGTTGACCTAAGATTACTCATCTCCTTAAGTTAACAATATAAGGGATTTAGTGGGTTCATTTAATTGAAGGCTAGAAAATATTTATGTCTATTTTGATTCTTTACAACCCATTTATATAGATTAAGCAATTAAGTTAAATATATTAAAAATATTATAAATAATGAATTCATTTTTTCCAGATGGAATATATGCATAAATAATCAAGGAGTAATGTAGGATAATAAGATTTAAGAGTATCAAAATCAAAATAGCAAACTTATTCATCATTATCTTTACATTTAAATACAAGATGCTTATTTTACATAAGATGATGAGAATTTATGCATTCTAATGGTATTTTACCATCACTTACCTAACATTTAGAATTCTTATCATAATATTTCTGATTAAGTAAATTAAACTTTGGTAAATCTGTATATTGACTTTTATATCCAGGAGGTAAAGATGCTTATGGTTTATATATGATAACTTCTTCATCTCTTTTTTTCTTCTATTCTTTTTTTTTAATCATCATAAGCATTTCTTAAATAAATTCTTTTTCTGTTTTATATTAACCATATTTAAAAGAACATTATTCTGCAATTGGTAAAGGATATTACTTCTATTAATATTTTTAAGCTTCTATTTTATAATCATTTTTATAAGATAAGAACTCTCTATCAGTTTCACTCTTTCTTGGTCTACCTCTACCTCTTCTGATATAGAAATCATAATCTTCTTTTTCATCATTTCTATCTATAAAATGTGAAGGTATTAAAGTACTTTCATAATTTCTTGAATGATTAGTTTCTTATTAATGTTTGTAATTCTAACCATTACTTTCTGTTTTATTGCTTTAAGCTAAAAGAGCATATTTATTTTCAGATGTGAATTTCTTATATACTTAACATCCTTTATTCATGATATGAACTCTAATTTTAATGTGACTATTAGCTTTATAAATTTTGGTATGATAATTTTTATAATTTTGGCATCTTTCAAATCTGGTGATCAATTAATTGGAAATACCATCAAAAGCAATTTCTGGTTCCCAAGTTGATTCTGATTTAGAATACCCAACCCATTTTATATAGTATTCAATGTTATTTAAACACCTTTTCCCATGAACAAATTCAACATCGAATTGTTATTATTGAAATTCCATATTGTAGTTGGTTACTAAATGTTTCCTTTATTTCCATGATTATTTTATAATATAATTAATTAATATATATCATTTAGATTTTTATCATTTTCAAGAGGTACTACTACTAAAACTTTATTTCCTTAAAAGACATTATTTACTATCTAACTTAATTTATGTCTTTCATCACATAATTTCAATATTCATTCGATATAACTCTCACATAAAAATTATAGATTGTATTAAGACAAATAGAATCAGAAATACAAATTTTTATTGATGGATTCCTATCTTTTAATTAATTTTTTCACTTCTTAATTTATCATATCATTTTTAATATTTTTCTTATTTCTATTAATTTAAATCCATTTTGATTTTATACTTCCTCATAACATATTCACTTGCAATACTTTTAAATTATTCTTATTATTACCATTAACTTACTTATTCTAATTCTTATTGAATATCATTCTTTTATTTATTTTTATATCCTTAATTTCTTTCTCTATAACTAATTTCGCTTTATCTTTTTATTCTTCTTTCTTCTATTTCTCATTCTCTCAGTATTAAACTATTTCTAATTCTTACAATTATCTTCCAATATCTCTAAGATCAAATTCTTTCTTCAATCTTACTCCTATAAAATATTGTAAAATTTGAATATTCAATCCTATATTTAGCTTTTATTTTTTAAAATGATTCTAATAATTTCTTTCTATTCCTCATACTCTAAGATGATACCTAATAAATTTATTGTTTTATTTTCAATCCATCATATTTTTTAGCTAAAATCGTATTTTTAAACTTCTAATAACAATTTTCCTTAATTTATTTACTCTTATTAATTTATTTATCCATAAACATATCTCTTATACAACTTCTCCTATTATATCATTTCTTCTATTGTTTCCTTCACATCTGTATTATCATTTTATATTACCACATAATCAGCAATTCATTCATCCTTCTTCTCTTTATTATCATTTGTTTTATTATGTAATAATCTATCCTTTTATAATCTCTGTTTAGTCGATTATTCTTCTTTTCTTTCCAAAGTACTTTATATATTGGCCTTTATTTCAAATCTTACAATGTGTAAGATTCTCTTATAAAATATTATAATGTAAACCTTTTTATTTTTCATTCCCATTATAAGTATATAAATCTTTATAATGATTTTACACTAAATCTTCATATCATTTATTTATCTTCCCAATCTATTACTACTATTATTCCTAAAGAGGTTTCTGTTTCTAAATCTTATCCTTATTCTTATTTCCAGAAATATATCAAGTATTTTTTATAAGTATCAACTTTTTGTTGCTTCTTGTAATGCATCTCAAAATAATTTTATTTTTGATTATTATTTTGGAGAATATTGATGTTAAGGACCTTTCTTATCTCACACTCTTTAAAGCATTCTAATTATCAACAAATTAATAAAGGTTTGAATTTGAGGTTTAAGTTATTCATTCATTCTATCTTTTGCTTAACTCTTAATTATCCTTTATTTATTGTTTACTCTTATTTTTTATAAACATTTATTTTTGACTACCTCCTATTTTCATTTATTTATAAATTATAAAAACTCATAAAAATATCATAATCGATGCTTATGAAATTTTCATAAGAAATAACTCACTCATCATTAATATAATGATTTAAATTCTAACCATCATATCATTTTATCATAGATCTTATTTCCTATATTAGTAAAAATTATGCAAATTGGAAGCTAAAATTATAAA